ACATTATTCTTTAGCGTTGCATAGTATTCCATTGTGTGTATGTACCACAGTTTGGTTGTCCATTCCTCAGTTGATGGACACCTAGGTTGTTTCCATCATTTTGCTATTGTAAATAGTGCTGTGATGAACATGGGTGTGCATGTGTCTGTTCTTGTCCTGGCTCTCACTTCTCTAGGGTATACACCTAGTAATGGAATGGCTGGGTCAAATGGTATTTCTAATTCCAACTTTTGAAGGAACCGTAAGGCTTATTCTTGAGGCCAGATATGCCACCACCCTCCAGACTTTTTACCAATTCTGACACCAACTGTCCCTCCCACAACACTCACTGCTTCTCTGCTGGGTTCAATAATGCATTGCAATGGCCACACAAAACTCATGGTTATGGGTTTATTAGTGAAGTAACAGGCTACAATTCAGGAATGCTCTCAGGATACAATTCTCTGATCAGCACAGTCACTCCTCTACTATGTCGTCAGGCATCTCTCAGGCCCTTGGCCTCTTGGCCTGGCCTCTGTCCTGCTCACACAAGCGTGACAAAGCTCTTTTAGCTCCGAGGATAGGTGCACCACACTCCCCCAGCAAGCTCTGGCCCCAAAGGACTCAGCTTTCTTGCTCCCTGGGCCACCGAGGCCGTCACTCCGTCTTATGCCTCCCGGTTCCTCAGCCAGTTATCTCTGCTGTCTCTCTGCTAAGGAGGCCCCAGTGCAGGAATCTCAGGTCCAGGCATGTGCTCCGTCCCACCTCCAGCTCTTTTCTCTCAACAGCAATGAGATCCGCCCTTCTGCCTCTAGAAGAGCTCGCTGTAAGCCTGGCAGGACGACAAAACTAACCAATCCCAACACTGGGGTTCCGTACACCTGAGTTGCCTGGTCCCACCCCCACAAGTGTGCCAGGTACCGTATTTACATTACTACACACAAGCTATCCAGTCCTCTTGGTAGGTCACAAGCACCTTGTATTTGCATCGTTCCACCCAGTCATCTGGTGGGAGTCACAAAGACCATGGTTACAAGAGCCAAACCAAGTAATTCACTGCTCCATGAACCCCCTGCCAACATGCCCCTAACCCTGGGAATAAAAGGGATTCTGGGTTCAGGAATGTCTGCAGTTGGAAGTTGATTGAAAGAACTGCCTGTTAGATCAGCTTTAACTATGTGTGGCGTCAGGCTAAATGAATAGTCACTGCCACTTGGTAGGAAATCACACACTAGATTGATCAGCAATTTCTTTTATTATCTTGCAGCACTTCCTGGTTATGGGTACGTTTAGTGGACCTTAGCTTTCTCCTTCGGATTAGGGGTTTGGAGACGATAACAGACCCAAGCCAGTTGACAGAGCAGACGGGGATTCTATGGGGGAGGCAGCAGACACAGTACATAAGGTTGGGTAGGAAGACAACGATGTTTAAGATGGTCACCAAGGTGTACGCCCACACTGGGTATTCTTTTGCCACTTCTTTTGACTGTGGAGAGATAAGATAAGAAAGGGGTTCAGAACATCAAGGTGCCCAGGAGAAGAGGAAGGAAAAGAGGGGCCGGGGAACCAGGGCAGGGGACTGATGAGCTTTCGAGGCATCAGAGAACGAGACCACGGGGTCCTCAGGCCAAGAGTGGATTGAAAGGTCTGGCCCCCACTCCCTAGGGGTTCTGGGGCCTGGGGAGGGAGGCTCACAATGCTTGAGTTCCAGGCCATGTAGGTGAAGTCCTTTGTAAATATGTAAAACAGGGTGACCAGAGTCAGGCCTAGCAGCACCAATGGACACACATAGCACCACAGGCAACGAAAGATGGGTGATACGGGGTGGCCCATCAGGGTCATCATCTCTGCAAGGAACCTGGGAGGAAGAGCCACAAGAATGGGGGAGGCCAGTCAGGCCCTCCCCAGCCTTGGGTAAGGGCCAATCTGGCCTTAATGTATTTCAAACATTCGATTTCACCTTCAAACTCCTGCCCCACCTCAAGCGTTATCCTCTCTCATCTTCTCCCTGAGTCAGTCTGCCCTCCATCCCAACCCAAGGTTTTTCAAACATCCCTGTACTGCTCAAGAACCTTCCGTGGATACCCCTCAGGATAAGACCCCCAGCTTCTTTCATTCATTCCACGAACGTGAGAATGTCTGTGATGTGTCGGGGACTCTTCTAGAGGTCGGGTACCCAGCGGTGAGCAACAGGGACAGAAACAAAGGACACAGACCCTCACCCCTCTCCCGCCAAAACTGTGGCCCTTAGACACCCTTCAAACTTGGAACTGAACCCACCCCCAGGGGATCACCTTTTAGCCAAACAATAGATGGGCCTATGAAGTGAAGGACAGCACACATGAGGAAGGTACTCCTCAGAAAAATCAACTGAAGGAGACTGAAAGGGCAGCATATGCCCAAAACTCAAAGCTGGAAGGCAGGACGGGGCAGGAAAGGATGAGGACTGGAAATGAGGGGCCCAGGGAGGGAGTGGGAAGAGCGTTGCTACATTGAGGGGACTGCAACTAATGTCAGTTAAAAAAAGAAAAAGATACCGCCTTCAGAGAGCTCACCTTGGTTTCTTCCGGCTGACTCATGCAGCCTCCTTTAGCACCTTTCTCAACCTCACACGTGTTCAAGCAGGGTCCTTCGTGGAATGCCCTGATTCTCCCTTCCTTTGTGTGAGTCTGCTCAAGCATCCTATCCTCCAAGACACCTCCCCTGACTCTTCATTCTTTTTTATATAAACACCTGTGCTCCTACACTGCCTCCAGACACCTCTATTACAGATGGATGTCTTTATAAACGCCCTTTCATCTCACCTTATAGAGGACTCCCTCTGTGCTCTAGGAGAAGAGGAACTAAAACTAATGCAGGCCTATCTCAGTACTGACACAAAGGAAGTCTCAAGAAATGTTTGTTGAGTGAGTTACTAAGTAAATGAACTAACTCTATAAATCACTTGTTGTTAGGGGCTGTAGAGTTGGCTCCAACTCACAGCGACCCCAAGTACAACAGCGAAACACCGCCCAGTCCCTCACTATCCTCACAGGCTTGGCTTTGCTGAGCCCACTGGCACAGCCACTGTGTCAGTCCTCTCGTGGGGGGTCTCGTCCCTTTTTGCTGACCCTCCACTTTACCAGCATGACATCCTTCTCCAGGGTCCCTTCTGACAACACGAACAAATGCAAGAGACGAGGTCTGGCCATTCTTGCTTCTCAAGAGCATTCTGGCTGCACTTCCTCCAAGACAGATCTGTGCGTTCGTCTGGCAATCCATGGTATTTTCTGTTGTCCTCACCAACACCACTGTTCAAATGCATCGGTTCTTCTGTAGTCTTTCTTATTCACTGTCCCGCTTTCACGTGCATACGAGCCTATTGGAAACACCATTTGGATCAGGCCCACCATGGTCTTCAAAGTGATATCTTGACTCTTTAACGCTTTAAAGATTTAAACACTTTAAAGATTTGACCAATGCTATACTTTATCTGAGGAGCTCTGGTAGCATAGTGGCTAAAGCACTTGACTGCTAACCAGAAGGCTGGTGGTTCAAACCCACCAGCCACTCCTGGGAAGGAAGGTTGGGCAATCCTACTTCCGTAGTGATACTGCCTCGGAAACCCAAGGAGGGGTCGCTATGAGTCGGGGCCGACTCGACGGCACA